TGTGTAGGTGGTCTTTTGGTTGTTTGAGAGAATGCTATCCTCTTCTTCATCGTCGTCATCATTTTTTGAAACTTTTTTGGGTGGTTTTTTGCTGGTGGTTGCTAAAGTGGTGACTGGAGAATCGGTGGTAGCTGTGGTTGTAGCTGCATCTGTTGATGATAAATCTGCAGACACTACTTTTGGAATTTCTGTTGCTGGTGCTGTTGTTTCATTGTCGTCACCTTGGCAATGAAGCTGTGCAATGACGGTAGCTAAAAGAAGTAAACTTATCAGCCATTTTTGGGGTATCATCATCTTTGGCTCCTGTCTACCACACTGTTGAATACCTTTTGGAAAAGATCTAATAAAAAGTTAAATATGGGTCTTTTATGCTGAAATGGTAATTAGAGTCTGCAACGGTAATTTTTTGTGTGCATTTTTGTTCAGAACAGTATTTTCCCTGTTGCTAAAGTGTGTCATAAAATACAATTTTACACTTTATATAGTAAAAAATTTTTGCAAAAATTTGTTGCGTTAAAGGTAGCAGCTTTCCCTTTGATTGAATTGAATAGCTAGCTTAATTTTTTCAAATAACTAAAAATATCTTTGAATAATGAAACAGTAGTTTATAATAGTAAAATTTATTGTAAAACTAATTTACATTTTCACAAAAAAAACGGACACATTGTCGACTTTAAAAAAACCCTTTTTGCTGATTCCAATTTGACAGATTTTACCTGCTTACACAAAGAAAAGATTAACATTCAAATTGAGTGGAAAAGTACATCTGAATTACTTCTCTTTCTTTGACCTTCAGACAACATCTTGCCTTATTCAGTCAGTCAACCATCTACAAAAGTGTTGTCGTTTTGATTGATATAAATCAGACAAGAAAAACTGTTGCTCAAAATTGATGCTGACACCTTTGGCCAAATCTTGATATAATAAAAACATAATAAAGCAGCAGCAGTAATCACAGATCAGTCATTAGTGGTAATATTTATTGGGTCTAATTATAGCCGGAAAGCTGCTGTAAGAGTTCAGTCTGCTATTGCAGTTGTTTCGTCTGTTGCTGCTGTGAACTTGAACTCTAAATTAGTCGCAACTTGGTGGATAGATGCTAAGCCAGATGACGTTGAATGTCGAGCAAATTGCCACGTCACACTGACACGCAAAGAGTGTCAAGCAAGCACACTTGTGTGCACTTTTAGCCTACATTTGCCTAATATCGGCCTGATTACTCCATCTGTGTTTGTTTTTGTTGTTGTTGTTTTCTTCATTCCCAAACTCTTATTCCCTAAATGTAACTGCATTACCACGCGCACACTTTTGCCTGGACACTAATCAGGACTTTACTAACGCTGTCCAAGTCTAAGCTTACCAATATCACGATAGCAGTAGTAATCATGCACTGTCAAGCCGATGTTAATGTTGGCCTTATCACCTTCAAGATCAACACTGCGATGACATATTTCGTCCACTGAGTCTGACGGCTGCTGCATTTTTCTCTGACTTTGTCTCCGACTGTGCCTACTTTGTTTGCTTATAATTATTATTGTTGTCTTTTTACCTCTTTCATATTTCATTTATTTAAAAGCATCTCAGCCAAACAACAAAAAGGAAAACAAAAGAGGCGTCGGAGACGTCAAAAACTGGAAAGATGTTTTTAGTTAGCTAGACTTATCAAAGCTATACGTGTGAGAGAGGTGAAGCGTGAGCAACAAAAAAATAATTAGCACAAAACAAAAAGTGGAAAGCACACATTTTTTTTTAGTTTTTATGAAAAAAGAAATGCTAAGAGATCTGCTTAACCTTGTCTTAAACAAACGACAATTAATTTGCGTTAAAACTCACATCGTTTTCCAGCCTTTAATGATCAATTTGTCCAATTGCTCACGATAGGCTTATTAGAATTTAACAAAACTAGACGACTTGATGGCTCAAACTTAAAAGTGCTGCTGCCCCTAACTTAGCAAAAAGAGGAACAAATTAAAGTTCATTCAGTAAGAGACGATTTGAAAAAAGAAAAAAGGGGAAGTCAATTTGTGCACCTTTGACGGTTTTGTAGAGTCAATTAGCTGGGACCACACGCCGCCACAGTTATCGTGTTATCCCTTTCATTCCTCCATGTTTTTCAAAAAACAACAACAAAAACAAGAGCAGACAAACTCTCTTTCTGATTGCCTTATCACTAAAGCAATCTGCGAGTTTTTGTCGACTTGTAATCACGCCATCGGCGCCGCATCATTTCAGTTGAGCAGACATAACTGAGAAAGAGAAAGTAATCAGTTCGGTAAAAGTGAGGAGGGAAAAGTTGTGGGAAGAAATACTGACACACTTGAAAAACTATTTTTTAGTCAAAACATTTGCAGTGTTTACAAAAAATTTTAAGCATTTTTGCCTCAAATAAATTGACCAAGTTTTTACAATTTTGGCTAATTTTGTAACAATTTTATTCATTTTAGTGCACTGCAGACTAATTAAAACAAGTGTGTGTAAGTCTTGAGTGGACTGCAGTTGAAGAATTTAATTGAGATTAGATCAGACTTCAAATTAGATCACATCACCTTGTGAAACTCTTTGCTTCCAGTCACTACTGACCACTAACACAAGTTAAGTTGTTCTTTTTACTTTAACTTTGTATCGTGCTTCCCCAATTAGTCGCCTTTAATAATATTATTTTGAACTTTAAAGCCTAGCAGCCAGTTTTTAGCGGTTAAATGAGATTCAAGTATTTTCAACAAAATAAAACGAGGTGTCAGTCAGGCAACAGCGGCAGAGGTGTTTGTGTGTGAGCAAAAAGTGCAGCTCTAAATGATTGAAAAAACGAAGAAGAAAAGTTAATTGCCCTTCTCTCCCCTTGCACTTTGCCACTGCTGCAGCTGATGCCTAATGATGCTCATTAGTATTCGTGCGAGAGAAAGTGCATCATCAGCAACATCAAAAGTGGTAGTTATGAGCCCCCCAATCGATAGTGTCAATCGCAAATAATAACATTGCAACTGCGATAACAGGTGGTCGACAATTGCCGCTCATTGTGAGTGACTGGCCGACTGATGGATGATTTTCATATTGGGAGTATATTCAATGGGTTGATGCTCTTTGGGAGCGCCACAAGTGCCTGCACAGCTAGATGAAACTTTTTGATAAATGAACTTCCCCCTTACTCTTTGCATCAATGCAGATTTTATCCAGCTGCTTTTGTTCTGAAAAAATGATAAAAGCCATTTTTCAATTTATTTTTTGTTTTAAACAAAAAATGCTGATTGTTGGGAAATCTAAGGATAGTCAACTAACCAACTTTTGTTTGTCACAAAGAGGAAAAAATTAAAGTAAAGAATAGTCTGCAAGGTCGGGCCGAGACTCGAACTCGGAATGCTGGATTCAAAGTCCAGAGTGATAACCATTTCACCACTCGACCGATTACCATGAGAGATGGCCAGGGGACGGCTACTTAAGCGGTAGTAGTAGAGACTGCTGTGCTGCAGACGACAGTCATCACTGCTCACTGCACTCCTCACTGCAGTGCACTACTGTGCACCAGTGCTTCATTGGGCACTCTCAGAGTGGCAATCCTCTTCTTTTCTGTTTACATTTGCAAATGCTTGTTTCAAAGAAAAAAAGTGTATTCTGACCGATTGCAACAAACACAGAGAAAATCCCTCACTTTTTCATCATTATTTTGTTCATTGATCTTCTGAGAACACTGAGTAGGCACATTTGCTATGGTGCACATCAAATGCATTAGCGGCAGCAGGTGCTGCAGTGCACCAATTGGCCCCGAGACATTGTAGGCAATCGCTAGACGTCTTCAGCGCTTATGTCTATGAATATTAAGCAGTAACTGAGGCCTATTACCTGGCCGATTGACTGGCCGATTTTGTGTGTGCTTTTGTACAAGACATCAGCAACAACTAATTGGTTGACTTTAGTATTATTAGATTGGCAGAAGAGAGGAGGAGAAGGACATTTTTTACTGCTCTTGTTTTCCCCTATTTTTTAAAGCAGCACTTGTAAAAAAGGACAACTTTCTACACACTATAACTTTGAATTCAATTTGTGGCACTTGAAACACAGACATGCAGACAAACAACAGCAACAGCAGAAAAAAAATCTCCCCAGCGGTGCTCTATGAGTAATAATGAAAAATAAAAGCGCGCAAAAAATTTCACTTGCAATGATTTCCCTTTTTCTTCATCCTTCCTTCCTTCCACTTCAAAATTGCATTTTGTTTGCCAGCGCAGAGCCGGACATTGAAAAGAGAGCAAAAACTTCTTTTATTAAGTTAATATTATATTTAATAAATGAATGAATGAAAAAAGATGGCCACGAGCGCTCATCATCAGTAGCAGCAGTTGGAGCAGTGGCAAACAACTCTCTTCAGTCTTTAAGCCAATTTGTGTCAAATAGTTCCGCACGTAATGGCCCACTCTCCTAACTGCGCGCTCAAAATCGGAATCAATTGGCCATTCGATTATGGGAGAGCAGGAGCAAGTTCAAACAAGTGGACAACTCAAGTGACGACAACAACAACAACAAAAATGGTCAACGGAGTCTTCGATCGATTTTGATCGACTGGCTGGCTCTTAATCACTTTCACTAGAAGCAGCAGGTCCTCGACACTTGTTTGTTTGTTTGTCCACACTCTCAGAGCTTGAGACTGAAGAGTCGTGTAGTAGTCCAGTCAGTAGTCCACTTTTTCCGCTTGCTATCGAGATGGTGTTCTAGACATGCCCTCTTGGCTTTGACTTTTCAATGATAAAGCATTCAACACTTGTTATCTCGTTATCTAGCATCAGCAGTTGGCGCTCTCTCGCATTGTCGCATGTGTTGCTCTTCAAAGATCTCTGCTGCTGGGGAAGACTAAGGTGAAAGTGAGAGTGCAGATCGGCTACTACTGTTTCTTGCTTACTCTATGATCACAAAAGGGCAAACAGCTCTTCAGGGCAGCAATTGACCACTGTCAGGACAGCTGAAGAGCAAGGCTGCTGCCAACAGTTAAAGTCAAGTCAACGAATAAAATGAAGGTAGGTGAGCGAATGAAAGTTGCTGCAAAGGAGAGAGAAGAAGAAAAGGAGATCAAGTATAAAAGGGCACACTGCGGCCGGTTAGTAGGCAAGTGTCAGTGGGAGATCATTCAAGTGTTATCATCATCATTGAATAATTTTGTGAATTAGGAGTGCTTAAAACTCCTAAGTTGTGTTTCATCTTTAACCTAAACCATTAGCGCCAAAATCATCATGCTCAACCCACGACGACTTGCTCGCGTGGCCCTTGCCTCGGTCGCTCTCTGCTTCCTGATCGATGTTGCCAGCGCCTTCTTCTTTGACAAGCACCACGAGCCAGTGCACATAATACATAAGCAACCGTACCCAGTTGAGAAAATTATTCCTATTAAGGTAATAATATAAATCTTCTAAAGTTATTTTGAGATAAAATGTTTTTTGTCAATTTATCTTTTTTTGAAAAACCACTGCGGTCTCGGACTGAGTTTTACAATAGTAATAAAATTTTTAAATAGATACCACATGTTGTTTACATCCCGACTCCCCCAAAGACGATCATCAAGAAGGTCGCCATCAAAGTGCCCGTGAAAGTACCTGTAAAGGTGCCTGTAAAGGTAAATTAGGATTAAACGTTAATTTTGATTTAAAATTAATTTTTGTTTGTTTGTTGCAGGTGCCCTATGCAATCAAAGGTTTTTATTGAGATGTGTTATTGATAAACGTAATTAAAATATTTCATCTATCTTTAGTCCCAAAACCGTACCCCGTGAAAATACCGTATATCGTAAAAGTCCCGGTTTACGTTGAGAAGGGTTACGGCGGCTATGGTCACGGTGGAGGTGGAGGATATGGTGGCGGTGGAGGATATGGTGGCGGACACTCTTCTTATGGAGGTCACGAGGGAGGTTATGGTAATTGTGATAAAGTTTTTATGATTTTAAACTTGCAAAACTTATTGAATGCTTTAATTTTAGGCGGTGGACACGAAATGAGCTACGGTGGTGGACACGAGGGAGGATACGGTAAATTTTGGCTTAAATTTAAAAAAATTGGCTCAATTATGATCATTCTCATTTTCAGGTGGAGGACACGAGTCGTACGGTGGTGGACACGAAGGCGGTTACGGTATGCTGAAGAAAAGATTTTTATATTGGGTTTACTTATTAAAATGTTTCTAAAGGCGGCGGTCACGAGTCGTATGGCGGTCATGAGGGAGGTGGTTACGGTAAGTGTTGAGGTAGTTTTTTGTTTAGGCGGTATCTCAACTTTGAATTAATTTAGGCGGAGGACACGAGGGCGGCGGCTATGGCGGCGGCGAGTCTTACGGTAACGGCGGAGGACACGAATCTTACGGAGGTGGCCATGAGGGCGGTGGCTACGGCGGTGGAGAGGCTTATGGCGGTGGACACGAGGGCGGATATGGTAATGAATATAGTGAAAAATATGTTAGTTTAATTTTAATTTAATTTAAATTTTTTAGGTGGTGGACACGAGATGAGCTATGGAGGCGGCCATGAAGGTGGCTACGGTGGCGGTGAAGGGTAAGTTTATTGAAATGTATAATTTATAAATGTAACTAAAACATTTCATTTACCTTCAGTTACAAGAAGAAATAGAGCCAGAAAGGGAGAAGTGCTGCTAGCAGCCAATTCAGTTCAGTCAGTCATCTTCTATAATTACACACACCTTCCTCAACGATTCATTGACAACATCATTTTTACCATTCACACCATCAAAACTGGTCTTTCATCCCAACTCCCATCAGTACTCCTCTTCTTCATCAGTCATCAGCTTAATAATGGCAGCCAATAATTTACACTTTTTTAATTAAATTATTACTGTTGCTTGTTATTGTACACTGTGACTGGTTGAAGGAGATGACGACGACGACGAGTGTGCTATTTATTTTTTGTTCATTCCGTAATTTATTTCTGTATAATAAAAAAGATTCAAACTTAAAAGTTGTCTGCATGTATTATGACTAATTTTATAAACATTTTTCTCTCAGTACACATTTTTTTAAAAACTTTTTTGCAAATCCTTTCACCCTTTTCTCTACAAGCAAAAGCTGGTGCCAACTGGTAAATGAACAGTATCCATAGCAATCAATTAATTTGGAGCTGTTTTAACGAGACAAAATTACAAAACATAGAAATGACAGCATTTCAGCAGCGCAAATAAACAGTAGTGCTAGGTCAAAGTCTGCATCAGATCTGAAGGCCCCACTAGCAAATACTGGTAATAAATATAATGGCAGTATCTTCATCTTTTGATGCTCATCCACTTTTAATGCGTCTTTAATTGCCATTACAGCAGACAGTTATCGTACTCATTCTTCTAAAGCCTCTTTCCAAGACTTACACTGTGGCAATCTAATCCAAAACCAAACACAGACAGAGACAGTGAGAACACAACACAAACACTCTCATTGTGCACTGTCACCGTGAGCAGCAGACTTCTTACATCTATCTACTGACTTTCACCTTCAGTCCTGTCTTTGCAGCCTGGCAATAGAGAAGTTATCTTATCGTACAACACCAACCAGACTGCAAAAATACCAAAACACTAAACGTCGACTTTTGTACGATCAGCAAGCGACCAGATCAAAGCACCACATTTCACAACCACCATTCACTAAAACACAAAAAGTTCCACACTTTTTCATTTTTTGCAAAGTGCACACCCTTAAACTCATAAAAGCATGCACATCAACGATTTGCCTGAAGACTGCCTCCGCCTGGTTCTGAAACGCCTGCCTCTGGGCGAGTTGTACCGCCTTCAACACCGAGCCCCAATTTGCTCTCGTTGGACTTCCGTGATCGGCTCAATGTTTGCCACCAATCGTTACCTTCACCTCTTTTCCTCTCGTCAAGAGTTGGCCACCGCCAACTGGTCCATTGCGGAGCACAACATTGACGGCTTCAACTTTGGTGACCATGTTTTGATTTTGAACGAAGCCGAAGAGGGTGGAATACCGCCTCAGCGGCCCTCGACCTTCCGGATTTGTTTCCGAATCTTCGAGTGTTGAAGTTTTGCAGTCGCCAGGCGCACGAGGAGTTCATCCCGGCGATGCTGCGTCGGTGGGCCGCCTCTCTGGAGCTGCTCTCAATTGCGCACATTCCCACTAGCCCAGACACTACAGCTCAAATGTGGTCAGCCGTGCGAGAGATGACCCAGCTGAAACACTTTAAACTCTTGTGCGCCTACCGAAATCCCATCCCTGAAGGCCTGCCCATCCTTCGTCAGCTCACTTCCTTTCGGTTGATGTACTACCTTCCATCGCTGGTTCCTCTGCTCAGTTCTCTCTCTAGCTGCACTCAACTGGATCTGAACTGGGTTTACCTTAATCGAGCGCAACTTCAAGAAGCCCTGGACGTAAATCAGAACTTAAAAACTCAGCTGAAAAGCCTTGCTTTGGGTTTCATCTTTTCTCCTGCAGGTGGAGGCGGAAGTCGAGAGAAAAACTATCAGGAAGTATTTCACTACGTTTGCGATCAGCTGCCCAACCTTCAAAGTTTGGACATTATGTTTGCCGACCATCTGCCGCTTCAAATTTTAATACCAGAGCTGGCCAAACTTTATCAACTTGAAAAGTTGTGGCTATTTATTGGCCGATCTCAGCTAGCCGATCACATCATAAAATCAGCCACTGAACTTCCTCAACTGACCACAGTCCGTCTTCTTAAACTGGAGATCTCCGATCTCAGTGTTGAGCACTTTTTTGCCCTGGTGCCGCATCTTTTCCCCGCCCTGGAGCAAGTGACACTACGCTGTCCTGACTTTGCCAATGATCAGGCGGCGCAGCGGCTGCTCAAAGACCGTTTCAGTGACCATTTTCCCACTGTCGAGCGAAAAAAGTTAAAGTTTGTGTAAAATGTATTTACTTTTTTGTGTTGAATTTACTCAATAAAATGGATTATTTTTACCGTAAATCTTTAACTACTAAACTGTCAAGAGTTATCAATCTTGCTTGCCTCTGAATGATCTGCAAATGCAGAATCCCATCAGCCTTGCGGACAAATCGTGCAGCAGTGGTAGTATCTTATCATTGACAACTGTACCAACACATCAGTTTCGCAAACCAAACGACAACCGATGTGAAAACTGATACTCACTTCTCAACTTAGTTAGTGTCTTTTTACATCAAGCCTCAGATAAGCACAACTGTGTTACAATTACTGATACACTTGTGCTTTCAATCAATTAAACTGATTGGCGGTTATTGGTATATAAAAGAAAGCCAAGAATGCCTGTTTCAACCATTCATTTTTTGCTACAACTAGTAAAATCTTTTGTTAAAAACCATGGCCACCACTCCTCAGTGCTACACAATCCTCGTAACTCCTCTCTGGGCAGTGGGCC